AATCAGTCAGGTGGGAAGTGCCGGGCCCAGCAACAACTCTGACGGCAGCGACCGTAATTGTCGCGCAATTACCAAGCCCGCATCCGACACCGACATTGAAATCGCCGCAATTAGGGTTTCAAACACGAAGTATCAAGTCATCACCGCACCAATTAAGACCCAAACGGTGGCTACAGGGGTGGATAGTTATAGTACGTACGGATGACCTCTACGAAATATGAATATTGTGCAACCTGTGTATGTTTTTACTCCTATCTGCGCATTTCTCACACTATCCTACCGTTAACTATGATTAAGGCTTCCCGGCGGAATCCGAAACGTCAGGAATATATAAAGCCTGCTCCAGTGGTCGCACATTAAACTGCCACGAGCATGCCAAAAACAACAAATAATTTCGGTATTTCTACGGATTTGACTCGAGAGCTGTTCTCCGTGGCGGAACGCTTGAACCAACTTCGCCGCCCGCAGATGGTTGGCTTTGCATAATATTAACCTGAAAAATATAAAATAATACAAAGCCTTTCACAAAGAATTCAAACGAATTTTCAACCTGGAATCATACTCAACTTGGTCCCGACAAGAGTACGTATATTTTAACTTCAAAACTTGTCTTTCCTACGTTGTGCCACACAGGGCAAAAATTACTGTAAACAGGATATAAGATGTCATTCATTGGTAAGGCAGTCGTTCCCTGAATCTTAACTGCGACTTTACTAACATTGCGAAACTGCTTTTTATAATTGATAAAAACAGAACGCTCCGTTATATTCTAGTAGCCTCAAGAGCCACTGCGAGATCTGCAAATGGTTAAAATATATTTTTGCTATGTAGGAGCAGACAAATGCTACGGGCACTAGAATGTGTATTACACCAGCTACCGTTGACAGATATAGTACTGGATACCATGGAGAGCGCACCAAAAAGCGAAAGAGAGTCTTAGCATATATCCATTCTTTCATTTGCCAACTAAGTCGCCACACAATTGCTTAGGCCTACTGGGTGTACACACAAGCCAACCGCACCCTGGTGGCCTACCATTTATCACCTCCCACCCAAAAGCTCACCCTTCACACTGCATATTGGCGAGTCACCGCTATCCTGTCCCACAAACTATGTCTACTTCGACAATGTCGACAAGTTTGGAACAGCGAGTCATGTTTAAGGTCCATTAATAGCATTTCACAAATTTGGCCCCATTTGGATTTGAAAACTGACAGCATTATTTAGGTAATTTGTTCGTAATTAACACCGCTGATTTTTATCGTCCTATTCCCCCTTTTCCAAACAGTATAGATTCTCACGGTGCCTTCGTAAACGTCGGCTAAGGAACCCGCATGATCGAGAGTGCTATACAGGTTAAGTTGAAAAGTAGCCCTTGCAACCAGTCTTGCAGTCACCTGGATGTGAATGGCATGCGAGTGGATGTCAATTTTTTAAATATACCTGGCGGGGTGTATAGTGGATACTTCACTTTTCAGCGTGCAAACAATAAACTTAACTACGAGGTAATACTATCGACCCTGAGAAGACTTAAATATCCTAGACTGGAATTGTCTTTAACACACGGGCTTATCGAAACACTTGTTAACACAGGGCAGTTATGATGAGTGATAGTGGTGAAAATTTGATTTCCAGGTGGTAAGTCAGAAGGAAGAATGATGTTCACCGGGAGAGGTTTATTTTTTATCTGACGTTTCGGATAGTTGTCCCGTCTATCCATCTTCAGAGAGTGAATGCTCTGGCTCCTGGTTTTCGCTACATGTCGCTCCTTTCTTCCGTGTGCGTGGTTTACCAATACAGATTGAACCGTTCTGTGTGGCTCGCGTCTCTAGGTGGTAACCGCTCGCCGCTCCAAGAGCCTTGTAGTCGTCACCCAGGCTCTGCTCTGTGTTGATACTGCCTGCAACGGGGCGTTGGTGTTTATTCGTCT